CTCTATCCTTGTCAAGAGTTAATTCACCAAAATGGCCTTCCTAAGTTTTCAGTTTCGCCCTTGACTTTTATAATAAGATATTTGTAAGAAATATCTACCTGATCACTATCTTTTCCCTTGGAAAATTATAGTCAACTATATTGTTCATTAAATTATACACTCCCCCTTACTTTTCCACAAGATTTATTTGACATTCTTCTTTTACAACTAAGTGAAAGGAAAATATATGCTTTAGAAATTAATGTTCATGTTTTTGTTGTTTTTGTTGTTTTGTTAATGACAAATGTTTTGTTAATGACAATGTTTTGTTATTGTTTTGTTTTGTTGTTTTGTTATTGTTGTTTTTGTTAATTGTTTGTTTTGTTAATGAGGATAACTTAAGGCCCACCCCTTTCTTCCCTCCCTGTCTATGAAGTCTAAAGTTACATTAAAAATGTATTGAAAACCTGCTATAGAAGATACTGTGAAGGGTACAAAGATTAACTGAACTTTGATCCTCTTTTCACAAAGCTTGCACAGGGGTATTAAACTTCTGTGTAAACAGCAGTGGCACCAGAAGTAAAATGCTAATGACTTTACTGAATTCAGCAGAGTGATTACTTTCAACAGTGGAGAACTATAGCAATTAACTCTTAGAAGCATGCAGCTATCATCTTTTAAAAATCTCTTAAAAGCATGTGTCTATTATCTTTTAAAAATGCTTTTTCCCTTAATTATTTTATTCCGCCTTTCAAAGCTAAGTCATTTCCTTTCTAAAGATAGGCAAAATATATATATCATTGCTTATAATAATTATAAACCCTATCACATTTGACATCATACAACCTGATAATCCCCTACATAATTTTAGAATTGGCTCTAAATTGGATGCAAACAAGAAAAGTTTTTGCGGTATCTCATTGTGGTTTTGATTTGCATTTCTCTGATGATTAGAGATGTTGAGCTTTTTTTTTATATGTTTGCATGCCATTTATTCTGTCTTCTTTGGAGAAGTTTCTATTCATTTCCATTGCCCATTTCTTGATGGGGTTGTTTGATTTTTTTTCTTGTTAATTCTTTTAAGTTCTAGATAGATTCTTTTTATTAGACTTTTATCAGAAGTATGCAGAGTAAATACAACAAATGCTGGCAAGGATGTGGAGAGACAGAAACACTCTTACACTGCTGGTGGGACTGCAAATTAGTGTAACCTTTGTGGAAAAGAATTTGGAGATACCTCAAACAGCTAGAAATAGAAATACCATTCGACCCAGCAATACCCGTTGTTAGGCATCTATCCAAAAGAGCATAAGACATTCTATTATAAAGACATCTGCACCTGAATGTTTATAGCAGCACAATTCACTATTGCAAGGTCATGGAAATAACCCAAGTGCCTGTTAATTCATGAGTGGATAATCAAAATTTGGTGTATGCTCAAAATGGAATATTACTCAATTCTAAGAAAGCACAGCAAGCTAGCATCATTTATACTATCCTGGATTAAGCTTAAACCCATTATCCAAAGTGAAGAGATGCAAGATCAGGAAAATGGGCTCCACATGTGCTCGCCATCAAATTGGTACTGACTGATTAAAACTATGGTGCTCAAATGGTGGTAGTGCTCACAAGGGATTCGGGGGAGTAGGGAGACCCACATCTTAGGGATGTAGCGAGCATTGTGGAGGGAAAGGGCATACCTCTAACCCTTCTTAGGGAGAGGCAAAGATATAAAATGTAATCAAACTGTCAAAAAAATAATTTTATGGAATGGTACACAGGTGGGAGGGGGGGGATGGGTGTATACTTACCTAATGAGTGCCATGCGAACCACCTGGAGGATGGACACGCTTGAAGTTCTGACACGGTGGGGGGCTATGGCAAGGGCAATATATGTAGCCTTAACAATATTTGTACCCCCATAATATGATGAAATAAAAAGGAAAATAAAAGAGAAAGAAAACAAAAAAACATGGAAGAAAATAAAGAATGATAATGCTTTTTTTTAAAAAAAGGAAGTTGTGAAGACTTCCCGAAAAGAGCAAAATAACGATGTGTCTTGGATTATATAATTATTCATCTTTCTGAAGTAGAGAAATGAACTAGATAAATTATGGGGTCAATTGTTGTGATAGGTTTCTTTTTTATGTTATTGATTTTCCATGGTAGAGTAGAAGTATTGTCTCCTTCTGAATCTGTATGCATATTGACAAGGTCAAGGTGTGGTGTGGCGGAGCATGTGTGTCTCTTTGTGGCTTTGTGTGTTTCTGTTGGTCCAATATCTACGTGTGGGTAGGAGTAATATTTACGTTGATTGGAACCTGGAATTTTATATGAGATTTATTGGCATGTAAGTGATATTTGAGTTATCAGTGTGAAATAGTAAAATCAGCAACAAGACAAAAATAATATAAAAACGTGCATTTGAGCATAAGAGACATCGGTATTAATTAAATATTTTAGAGACAGTGGAAGGAATTATGTGGCTTCTAATGAAGCAGCTGTATTTTAAATACTATATGTAGAAGATATGATTTTGGTGATCTTCATATCCAAAACTCATTTTTTTTGTATATAATAGAGGAAGTATGCGTTTTTCACAAGAGTATAATTTGTTCAATATCTCATTAACTTTTAATATAATTTCATAAAATATAGTTTCTAAGCACCATATTGTTTACATGAAATTCTCTTTCTATCACATAACAGCTAGATGTTGATGAAATCATAATTACTAGTCAAAGGCTAACTTAGTTGACCTTCATCATTATGGCATCATCTCTATTTCAGGACATGCTAATCCAAATCTCATGTATGAAACTGTTTTTTATGATTACATTTAACAGAGAAAAAGGAAGCAGAGTTGCTAACTATTTCTAAGTTGGCTATTGTAGCTAGAGGCTTTTATTAGCCCAGGTTTTCTGTTTGCCAACACTGTGATCAAGGCTCAACTTCCTTTTGTATGATAAAGAAAGCCCATTAGAATGTCATGATTCCATAAATGTGATAACCACTGTTAAAGAAGCCTTAGCTAGTTAATTTGTCTCATTTCCCAGTTTGGGATGGGGGCAGGGTGGCTGTGTTTAGAAGTGCTTTAAAGTAAGGGTTCCATAACAGTCTTTTTGTCCACACAATAAGCTCTCCATGATGAAAGATGATCTTACATAAAATACATTTATGATCTAAAGAGTACATCCTCATTACATTTTTAGATCTCCATTTCAAAGACATCATGCCTACTTTGCTCTCATGAAGTGAGACCTGTCTAAAGTGCATCACAAATGGGCTGTCACGCGCTGGGTCATAAACTGCATATCGGTTGATTAGAGCAAAATAAAAGGCAACATCAGGATTCACTCCCCTGGAAGTTGGTATTCTCACCACCAACTTTTACCTTTACCTGTCAGTGACATCTCTCTCGGCACCCTCCTGCATTTCTTTTAGATCAATCTGTTACAAAACACCCCAGTAGGTGGCTTTATTCTCTTGGTAAGGTTTGTGAATTTGAACCCTTTGTTTCACAAAAGACCGACAAATTCTGCTTTCACTCAGTCTCTGAACACAGTATTAACCAGCTAAGCAAGAATAGGAAAAAGCTGCCAGCTCACAGGCTTTGCATAGATTTTATCTGCAAGTTGAAGATCATTTTAAAGAATTTGAGCCTGACGATTTTGATGAAAACTCAAGTTTATTTCCTGTAGTGTTTACTCATCAGCTGCAGTTTAGTACTCAAAGTGTAATAGGTCAAATGAACCTGAACTAGGGCAAAAGAACTAGGTCAAATGAACCTGAACAACAAAATTTCTTTGTATGCAAAGAAGGTATTATGGAAAATATCATATCTCAGACATTGGTTGACTTCGTCCAGAACCCAATAGCATCAGACACACCCTTTACAAACAGTAGCAGTTCCTGTCTCCTAAAAGTCTAGCCACTTTTAAAGAAAAGGACAGAAGTAAGTAAAACTTAAGTTACTGGGCAAGAACAGGAAATAGAAATGAGAGACATGTGGGTGGGCTTTCAATAAACAATACAGAACACGAACCTATTAATAGCAAAGACATTATTGAGAAAAAAATAACCAAAGCTTGATCACAGGAGCATGAAAGTTAAATACTCATGAAAACACAGCTAATAAATTAAACAAAATGTTGGGAAATATTGATAGCATGACTCACATGTAAAAATGCTATACATTCTGAAAAACATCTAGATGTTCTATGTTAAAAATAAGACAACAGGTTAGAAAACAGTATTTTTTCCAACACCCAAAATGTAGATTAAAAGACAGGTATCAATTTGAGTTCTTCTTTCCTGATATCATATTTTTCATAAATTATGGCAAGTTTGAAGTGTGTATATGCGTGTGCATATTTTTCCAGATTACTTACAAGTGATGGGGAGAGGAATGGGGTGGGAGCAGGTGGTTGGCAATATTTTGGGAAAGTAGTTAATTTTGAAGCAGCTGCTGACAATTTTCCTACAGTATTATTCATCATTTAAAAAAAATTAAAATGATTATAATTACCCTGATATGTCACATCATATGTGACTGACAAAAGGATACGGTAGTGGAGATGGGGAAAATGTCCATATCCCTGGAGTAGATGCTCATTATTCTCTAAACTCCTCAGCGGCAGGCTTCCATGGGACATTGCCCCAACGGATGAAGTTCAGGTGAGTAATAAAATCGAGCAGAAGGCCTGTGAGTGCCAGTGGCCACCTGATCAGAGCTCATTTAGTGATTGTCATCACTTTGTAGCAACCATGCAGTTAATACCCAGTGTATCTGACATCTGCTATGTTAAATTAGCACTTGCAGAATTAACACCTGCTGTCAGCCACCCAGCATGAATGTTGCTTTCTTCGGAATAAAGGGGAAATAAATTATTTCCCTAGAAATTTGTGTAAATTATTTTTTTGAGGATGGAGAGTTTCTTGGAAAGATTTGGGGACTGGCAATCAAGATTCTTCATTTTCTATGGTGTTAACCTGGTGAGTAACTCCAGTTCTCTTTCTAGCTGTCAGTGAAGAAGTCTCAAAATTGAGTTTAATGTCATCCCATGCATCCAACAAGATCCTGGAGGTAAAAGTGTTTTCTAAAGGATGAAACCCTATGCAGGTGCGAAGTGGTATGTTACTTGTTCACTAATGATATTAATAAATTTTTTCACTTTAAATTCTCATTGATTATTTATAAAAATATTTTATTTTATGGTACATTTTCTTACAGTAGGGTACAGTACTTCTTTATTTGTGTAGAACGCCATACCAATTTCTATTAACAATAAACATGGTATTACATTTGTGTCCCTTTTAAAAACACTATTATAATTGATATTAAAATTATTTAATTATATGATTTGATCCTATGTGCATATACTATGAGCAAACAACTTCTCTAATGTCTGCCTTCTTACACATAAAATGATAATAATAGTATTTTTATTATGACATAATAACAAGTTGAAAGTATTTTAGTACAATGCCTGATATTGTGGGATCACCCTTCCCTATCTAGCAACCAAACAAAATGAATAACAAAACAAAACTACAACAAACCTAATATATCATTATACTATGAAGATTTTTGTGCACCATAGCAAATAATAAATGTATAAGACTTAAAATGTGCCTTTAATTTGCTTATTTATTTTAATTCAGCAGAAATATTTTAAATGTTGAAGAAAATACTACTAAGTATAAAATGAAGTTTCTCTGACTTCATAGTGCATAAAGTAACGTTGGGATGGGGCTTTCTCATTTTCTAGGATTCTAGGACAGTTAAGTAAATATTCTCAAGGACCAGAATAATAAAGGAGTAGAAGTTAGGGAAGGTTTCATTTTGAGGATCAAAATAGGATAGGTTTTAAGAACCTGGAATTCAAGTAAGAACCTTCTAGTAAGTAACTTAGTCTTTAGGTACCTCAACCTCTTTATGTATGAAATGGGAGATGTAACAGTGTCTGTGACATAGGTTAATAAAGGATTAAGTGTGGAATAATTCTTAGCACATAGTAAACATTCCAGAGGTTCATTATATAATGGAACAATGAGGAATTTGAGAAAGGCTTTATCAGCAACTTTAATCTGGGTTAAACCTTTGTGCAATTATAATTTCAATCCACAGACTCAAAGGGGAAAGCTATTCCATGTGGAGGAGGAGACGGTGTGAACATAAGTAGATTTGGAAGGTGTTGACCAGCTATATATTTGTGATTAATCGTAATGGGAGATAAAGCTGGCAGGTAGAATGGGGTTCTAGCCATAGAGCACCCAAAACCCACAATCAGAAGAATGCTTTATATTCTATAGGTGATAATAGCCACTGAAGGTGTTAGAAAAAAAATGCCCCTTGTTTTCAGAGAGATCAGTAACCAAGGAAAAGATGTGAAAACTGAATGAGTTTTAAAAAAGAGGGTGTTATAATAAAGAGGGTTAGAGAAACTAGGACAACAATAGCAATTGTCCATGGCGGCCTGTCAGGAGAAAAGCTTTCTTAGTAATTATCATTGAGACAATTACCTATAATGCCTGCAGTCCCTAGAACACCAAATTTAAACTCATTTGTCTTTTCTTGTCTCATACTCAGGCCATGGATATTAACAGATACTTCTAGAGTGTTGACTATATGGAAAATTCCCCATTAGGAGCTCGTTGGTACTACTATGGTGTGAAGGTTACAATGATTACATGAAAGTGGAAGAAACAATTTTAGAACTCTGAGCAATCTTCTTAATTGTATCTGCAAAACCTCAATTTAAAGACATTATTTTTAAATCTATCTGCAAAGATGGAAAGAAACAAGTTTTTGGAATTCAATCAAATGCAAACATTTTAAGGCTGAGATCAATAACATTTTTTTTAATACTAGGCATTGGAAACCTAGAATTTGAGACCAGACTTGGCAACTTTTTTCCTTAAATCTTGATTGGAAAAAAATAAAGTAAATAAAAATTAATTGACCCAATGTAACTAGAAGTCATCATCCCTTCAGAAAACGTCAAAACTTCATGTTCAAATTTGCCTCTATAGTCTCTTCAGAGAGAGTACATTATATGAAATGAAGAAGCATGGACAGTACATGTACAGTACAATGATGCTTATTCAAATCTATCCCTTCCTCTGCCTTCTGGATATAGGTTTTGGTCCTGTGGAGACACAGAACATATATTTTAAAAAATGCAAAAGTGATTTTATTAATCTCTGAGGTATACTGGGGCATAGTCAATATTGTACTGGGAACCTTCAGTAAGAGTCCACAGCACAGCTCGAGGTTCTTGAGATGGCATTTAATAATTATTATACCCACAGAAACATGAGAAACACCAAAATGGGATGTGGATCACTCCAAATTTATTAGCACAGAATATGGGAAGCATGACCTGTGGATTCCCAAAATAATTGCAGTATTTTACAGATGTCTAAAGTGCTAAAGTCTCAGCAAATGAAAGCACTAAGTCAGTAAATGTGAATATAAAATGTCAATATGATCACTCTGCCCACTAAACCCTATAGTGGCTTTTAGTCTTAATTAGGATAAATTCAAAATTCTTACCATGGCCTACAAAGCCCTTTTTCAACCAGTCCTCTCATCAACTTTCCGTTCTTATCTACTCCTCCCATCGCCAGCTCCATGGGCAAGTGATCTGTACAGCCATGTATAGTTTGTGTTTGGCATAATGCTCTGTTGCCTTCTTAAAATTCTTAATAATTTTATCCTTCAACATGTGATTTGTAAGTGAAATCCAGTGGATAATAGAGCAAGCAAGGAGATTCACACAATTGCACTGTCTCTTGTCATCCCATTCTCATATAGCATTTGCAATGATCCATGAACTTGAACTCAGAATCTTGGTGGATGCATGGCACATGGATCTTCAGCAAGATTCAAAGACATAACAAGGTAAGTGTGTTTTTATCTAGGACTGATAATCAGCAGGGTGCTAACAACCCTAGGAAGCTACTTCACATTTGAACAAAAACTTGCTTTGATAGAAGGCAAATGGCATTCTAAGAAATACAAATCATCAAGGAAACCTATCATATTCTTTCTTCCTCATAACTCACATAAACACTATTCTGTTAACCAACCACTTATGCTGAAAATGATGATATAGAAGAAATTGGGAAGCTAGGGAAACCTTTAGTTCCTTTTCTTTTCAATCCATCTTTACTCATCTGTACATTTAGAGCATTTGGAGAATGCAAGTATCAGGTAGTGGAATAAAAGAAGTTGAATTTGGTTTTGCCCTATTTCCACTGATAACAAAATACATATGCATGCATTAATTACAGAATGCAAACTGTGTAATTTTGTGATTCTGCATATGAGTTAAATGCTCTTACATTTACACTTAAAAGTGCCCTTGTACAATATATACGTAAACAGTTAAATTAATGCCAATAATTTAGAGGTTTAATTTTCCTTTATTTAGGATAATAAAAAGTAAATAAAAACACCATAACAAGTCAAGGGAAAGGCCATTAAAGAAAGGAAAAAGCTCTACCTGGCAGTATTCTTAACAGCATTGTTTTCCTCCTTTTGAACAAGGGACTTTATATTTTGATTTGTCACTGTGCCCCAAAAATTACGTAGCCAGCCCTGCCTATTCCTTTCCAACTACCTTATTTTTGTCCAGGCACATTTGCTCCCTGTTTTTACTGGAACATGCCAGGGTTTCTTCCATTTTAAGGTCTTTACTATTGCTCTTATCTCTCCCTGGCATGATCTTTTCCAGATGTCCATATGGCAAGCCTTTTCACTTCTCTCACATTATTATTGCTAAAATGTTTCCTATCCACTTTATTAAAAGTGTAATCGCACTTAGCAAGAGTACTTCTTGATTGTTTTTTCTCAGAAGTTTGATGGTACTTATCACCTTCTAACTTACTATGTCTTTCATTTAATTAATTTGCTTATCATTTGCCCGCTCCATAAACATTTGAGAGAATGAATGAATTACTATCCAGAAATAAAGGTCCATGGAGTTACAGGATAAAATATTCACAAATTTTCCCTACAAAAGATATTATTTTAACCAAGTGACAAATTTTAGGCCTCTTGCCTTTTGAGTAAGTATTAAAAATAAGATTGAATTTGGTGATCAAATGGGATCTTAGCCTTAGTATAAAATATTAATTCTTTGACAAGAAAATAGCTAAAAAAATGTCACTTATATAATAAAATTTAATCAAAACAAATAAAATTAAGATTAATTATAGTTCATTTAATTTTGAATTCTCAACCACTATTAATCCTTTAGTTTAACTTTTTAGCTTTTACTTTAAATTAGTGAGCAGTAAGCATTGTGAGTGGCGAATGGCAGGTGTTCATTCTAATTTAACAAAGCAGGTGTCAAATATTGTTTACTGGGGCTAACTGCTACTCCTTCTGGAAAACGCCTTACTTTGGGGTTTCTCCTAATTAAAAATATCTAGCCATCACCTGTCAAATTCGTCTCCATGGGACAGTGAAGCCTTCAGGGAACATGACTTGAGCAATATTTTCAGATAAAGAAAGGGGAAAAACATTGCCATTAATTATTTAAAGGTAATTCTTTCTCTTCTGTCAAAATTATGGCTGCATAATATAATTCACTCCTTCTGGAAAAATAGTATACAAACTCTGAGATTGGTCCAATCTGATAAATTAATTAAATCCCAAAGATGGTGCATAAAAGAGCCAAAAATGCAGTTAGAATATACATTTCACGTCTTGCATTATTCTGTTTTCTATACAAATTCTAACACCTACACATAACTTATACGTTCTGGGAATATCCCAAAGAGAAATAGAGAGATCAAGTGTGTCACTTAATAGTAATTTGTGTGCACTAGTAATAGAGATTTTCCTAATGTTCAAACTACAAAATAATATTGATTTCTAGGTAACTGACTCATGTAGATCATAGCTTGTAATCACTGCATTGTGATTGCTGTATTTTAAAAATTATATATACCGTGATTTGTGTTATAGCAATAGAGCATAGAACTTCATCTTCATAAAATAAAATTTGGTTAATGGGACTATTTTTACCTACAATGTTATCACGAAGTTAATGAGGTTTTACATTTGTTTTTAGTGCTGAGGAATGTTATAAAAAGCAACAATTATTTAATATGAATAAAGTTTTTCAATTTTTATCTAGTCAACTCTGTTTATTCTTTTAAAAATATGCAGCTGTATTATGATGCACTTGCTTAAATATATAAACCCCAATTGTTGAGTTCTAGGGCTGGGGAACCTGTCGCCTCAGGGCCACATGTGGCCTTCTGGATCCTTGAGTGTGGCCTTTTGACTAAATCCAAATTTTCCAGAGTAAATCCTTTTAATAAAGGGATTTGTTCTGTGAAGTTTGGATTTGGTCAAGGAGCAGCACTCGGGGATCTGGAGGGCCATATGTGGCCTTGAGGCTGCAGGTTTCCCACCGAAAGGCAGAATATTGATTTTTCACATAAATTTGGTTACTTGTTGTTAGTGTAGGAATGATAGTTACCTGTAAAAATATGCATAAGGGAAATAAACTGAATGAATGTGTTCTAAACCAAATTGGATAAATTTAATAGAAATATTTCCTTTTAACTCAGTGAAGATTTATTTGAACCATGACACTATATTTAACCACCTCACTCTATATTTCCATGGTCTGATAAATTTGATACTTAGGTTTTCTTGTTATAAAGCTATGGAAGTATAAATCACACACACACTCACACATTTCAAATATGACTATTACATTAAAGCTAAGCTGTTAGAAAACATGATTATATACCCCCAGCAACAAATATAGATCTTAGCAGAGTAGGTTATTTGAGGTATTTGAATTCAATTCTGAATTTATTCAAACACGTTTTAGAAATTAATAAAGACATCCTTTGTCCCCCAAATTCTACTAACTCCATAAAGTGAAATTTAATAATGAAATAGCACCAGCTATTTGGTTCCATAAATAACTTAAACATAATCAATTTGTTTCTATAACTAAACATAATCAGAAAATTTAGGTTTCATGGTATTAAAGCAGATTATTATTTCAGTTGAATATTTAAGTCTGCATTACATTTTGGTATCTGATTTTTATGTTGGTGGGTAGAAACGCGACCTATTGTGGATAATATTATTTTCATATTACAGAATTTAATTTTTTCAATGGCCCATGTGATTTCCTGAAAGTAGTGTCTTGATTTCAAATTGACAGTCAAACTCATTACTCACAGTAGGCTTCACCCAGCTCAATTTTACTTTGAATTAAAAAAAGTATATGGGTAAGAAAACAACAACACACGTAGATCAATAACTTCCAGGCAGATCTTCTGGTGTCTTTGTCATTCTGCCCTTGGAACATGTCACAAGAGAAGAGGGTGACCAGGTGTGCACCAGCTTACAATGCAACCATCAATATTGGGTTTTTCAGTGTCACCACTAGTTGGCCATGCAGCCTCTGAGGATATGCTAGTTCCCATTCCCTGGTGCCCCTGTGTCTTTTTCTTATAGGTTACTCATTACATATCGAATGCTATCAACAGTGAGCTATAGATGCTTGGTCCTCCACACAATCTTTGGTGAGATTTTCATTCATCTTGGGCCTGGAGAATTCCTAATAATTCTGAGAGCTAATGTTACAAGAGGAATTAACAACAAGTTATATCCACACATGTCCCCGAGACCACACAAAGATCACAGAACCTGCTGTTAACCCTGTTTATGTTTAAGTGGTGTGAGAAATAGCACTATAGAGTCTAGTATATTTGAAAAAATTAAAGTAGGTTAATTATTCCTTTACATTCCAAAATGAGCTTTAAAAGATCCCAGAGTTTGAGGAAGTAAAGCTTTCATTTGTTTTCTCTAAAATTAAAGTGTGTTAAAATTAAATTTTTAAAAAATGTCATTGCCTTTATTATTATGTAGTTGTCCAATGTGAGAAGATTAATTACTTATTGTCTGAAATAATTTGATTTTTGAAAGTATGTAATAGTACAGTGTCAGGTTGAATATCAAGGGCTTTATAATAACACATTTAAATATGTACATAAGGAAAATATAAAAATAAATAGATATAAGTCATATTGTACATTTTCTCTCAATGAGCTTGCACTAACATGTCAACTGACAAGACCATTTTTATAAAGAGTTTCACAAAAGAGAACGAAATCTTACTATAATTAAGAGAAAATAAGTAGCTGAATTTTAGCAGACCTACATCTAATTTAGTCTACTGTTAATTAAATCAATAATGCCTTCAGTTATAATCAGGAAAACTTGTTTTATTGTTATATTCACAGAGAGTACACTGTAAGTATAAATAAAGTTATCAGATTACAAGGCCATGCTATTGATAGAATCATTTATTGATTAGTTAGGTAAATAATATACAGCCTTTTGGATCTGTGAAATAACAAGTATGAATCACATATATTTGGTTCTTGAAAACAAGAAATCATTAAATTCATAATTTTTAAATACAGATTATCTAAAATATCTGGGGTCATTATCTTTTATTGTGTTGTTTGTAGCATTCCCTAACAGCGAAATTTCTAAACTTTATAAATTTGGATGTTTCAAAGAATAAATAAGCACTCAAATGAACTGTGCATCAATCCAAATGCAATTATGACAGCCAATTAAAAAGGATCCTTCTTATTATAACAACAATCTAAAAAAAGTCTTACTAGTACCAAAGTTGCATTTACTTCATAAAGTTACTTAATTTCAACAAATTCAGAATGAATTTAATAAGTAATTCTAGGAAATTGTATGAAAAATCACTTTGAGATCCAATAATCTATTAAATACATCAATCAATAACTATGTACTATTCATTCTAGTAAAAGCACAAAGCATGTGTATACCATGACAGTCGTTCAATACTGAAATGTGTAAAGGTATAATTTT